CCCCCCCCCCAATAATTTCTGAAAAGCTTTGAAATTAATGATATCCGAGTAGTAGGCTACAGTATATACTGCATGAAATGTAAGGCAAAAAAGTTCAACACTACCATCGACTTCAACATCCCTAGTCCCATCAGTCCAATCATGTTTCATACCAAGACATGTTGTCAGTCTTCAAAATATACAAACTTAATTACGGTTATCAACATAAAGTAAGTACCCTGCACTGCAGATAGTACGAGTTCCGCATACTAACCTTGGACTTGACTGAAAAAAGTACGGAACTATAATATTGCATTATTGCATTTGGTGTACCTCCGGTGTTACCTCCGGCACGTAAGTACTGCATGTATGGGAATTATCACACCATGAATTAGCATAAGAATATGGCTTATGCATGTTTTTATAACTATATTGAAAAGTCAATACACATAACAACAGGCAATAAATTGTGGTTATAACCAGTGATAGGTGCCAAGCCACTTAACTGTAACAGGTGATGATGTCACTCACCAAAATAAACCTTTGATACACCCTTAGCCTCATTATGCCTTGTTGTTTTCTCTAGGATTGGCACCCAAACAATGAATTTCAGATTATATTATGATGGAATGCATTACGTTGGTAAGGGTGGTGTTTATACTGTATGTGCTGCATGTATGTGGGCAAATAATTTGGTAGGGCATACGAATTAAATGGACATGTCTTGCCATAATATGCATCCTCGGTACTGCATCGGCGTACTTTTTCATGTCCTGAATTAAGTAAACTTTGGGCTTTTCACTCGACTGGCCGAGGACACGAGGTAGCGTTCAGCAAATTATATACACATGTGAAGCACAGCGTCTAAGGGTCCAGACACACCAGACGCGATTCGACAACGCGACGCGATATTTCGATTTTCACTTACCGATAACTTTGATCCTAGTTTAAATTTTCCAAATATTTAGAAGCGCTATAACATTTTAAGTTAGGGACCGGTCATAAAGTAACTAACCTGAGTATCAGGCCGTACTTTTTAGGGCACAGGCACGCCTGATCGTGGGCGAAGGGGAGAAAAGTACGGCCTGACACAAAAGTGGCATTTTGCCTGGTTGTTCAGTCCAGAATCTGGACTGAGCGCTGATTGGCCGATTAGACAAACGATTTTTAAATCTGTCATTTGATTGGCTGGTGCTAATTAGATTATACTATTGTTGTTGATATATTTTATAACGATCACAATTCACAACTACAATTATAGCCGGCCCACTAAACGGCTGAATTTAAATTAAAACTGCAGTAAAATTAGAAAATAATCGCAAATTAGCGAAATATATTGCAAATGTAGCTTATATTAAATCGCCATCAGATTGCACTATCGACTGACGTATAGTTATAAAGTATACTTTATAATTATACGTCAGTTTGTTGATAAATACGGCAAGCGCCATGTAAAGCTCATTGTAGTCACTGAAACCTCTGCGGAGGAGAGAGCAATCGGGTGGCGATTTAATATAAGCTACATTTGCAATATATTTCGCTAATTTGTGATTATTTTTGTTAATTTTATAAGTTCATTGCAGTTTTAATTTAAATTCAGCCGTTTAGTGGGCTGCCTATGCTATAATTAGATTGTTGTTGTCGTTGTGTGAAATTTAAATTTCTCCTGCGACATTTTGATTGGATACTAAATATAAACTTTGCTGTGGGCGGAAAGCGATCAGGTTAAGTTTTGTGTCAGGCTCTATTTGTAAAATAGAGCCTGATACTCAGGTTATAAAGTAACTGCTAGGGTGGGCCGGAGTGATTTGGGGTGGGCCATGGAAAATCTTTGGGCAGTTTGGATGGGCCGCTAATTATTTTGTATGTCTACCGTTGGGCCACCAAACAAAAACCCATACCTACTTTCATCCAGGGGCGTAGGAAGCCAGGGGGGCCTCGGCCCCAATTAACCAAAATTTTGAACTCAACAAGTCTAGACAAAAATTTCATCACAGCTTGAAAGAGCATCACAAAAGTAGTAATATTCCAAAGTTTCGTTGCAAAATGTTGTAAAATGCGGACAATATAGCCTTGCGAAATTTGCAATTTTTAGTCATTTTAGATTACAAACGGGAAATGGTTACCACTTCTGCGCGTAATACAAAATGACTGAAAATTACAAACTATCCGCATTTTACAACATTTTGCAACGAAACTTTGGAATATTACTAATTTTGTGATGCTCTTTCAAGCTGTGTTGAAATTTTTGTTTAGGCTAGTTAAGATCAAAATTTTGGAAAAGTTGTAACCATTTCCCTTTGTAATCTAAAATGACTGAAAATTGCAAATTTCGCAAGGCTATATTATCCGCATTTTACAACATTTCGCAACGAAACTTTGGAATATTACTAATTTTGTGATGCTCTTTCAAGCTGTGATGGAATTTTGTCTAGACTTGTTGAGATCAAAATTTTGGTTAATTGGGGAATGGTCCGTTGATGTAAGCTAATCGCTAATTGGCTTAATTATACAAACTTGTCGCTGAATGGCTATGGGTATAAACGTTAATACTAATGTGCTTCGCAGATACAAAAATAAAATATACACCGGCACTGTATTGATATATGTTCATACCTGGAAGTTTTTTTCATTATAAAAGTGTATTTTCCCAATTTAGATTGGGTAGGTCATGAAATAAATTTGGTAAGGTTGGATGGGCTTTGAAATTTTTATCTACATCCTAAGATGGGTCACCAAACTTATTGGCAAAATTTGTGATTTACCTCCTGGAGGGCCCACCCCAGCAGTTACTTTATGACCAGTCCCTTATTTGGTCTACATATCTTTCAAAATTTGTTCTCATTGGCTGTTTTATTAACTTTCAAAAACTAAAAAATCGCGTCGCGTTCTCGAATCGCGTCCGGTGTGTCTTGACCTTAAAATGCGTAGACGCATTTAAGAAGAATTTCAACTTGTTTTCCTCGGTTAACAAGAAACAGTATAGTTCATTTCCTAAAACTTGCAAGCCTTCTACTCTGCAGTATGTTCATATTGTAATGTTGATCACAGTGTGTATGTTCTCGTGTTTCTCTGGCATTGCATGCATGAGCAGTCCAGGAGCGTGAGATAAAGTACCATTGGAATTTTGTGCTTAGGTGCTATGGATATATCAAAGGAATCCTAAGCCAACAATGAAGTGATATGTGATACAACTAGCACACAAGGGACAAAATTTAGCTAATTGGCTAGCTCCTTTTCTTTGACTCTCTACTGTAGTAAATGTTGTAGAATTCCATATACTTTTTTGCAGCGGAGAAAAGGTTTGAAACACTTAATGATTTGGTGGAGGATGGCTTGATATCGATGTACATTGAAATGAATGCTAAGGACTATATAGATACGATGATGTTTGATCCACCACCTGCTCCGCCTGAACGGTCTGAATCTTCGCGAAGGAGAATATCTTCATCAGATGCTAACGAACAAAGAGAACCGGTAAATACCCAACTGTCTTGCTCAGTATTAACGGTTTCAAGGGTTTTTCCCAAAGTGAGCAGTATAGAACCATTTACCACATACAGTGTATCAAACTAATCCTCCTTCATTTTAGTCATATATGACAGGGTTCGTACAAAACTTGAAAGTCCTTGAATGTCCTTGAATTTGAAAACAAAAATTCAAGGCCTTGAATGTCCTTGAATTTGTAAAGAAGTACTTGAATGACCTTGAATTCTTCTTGCTTTAGTTTTTGGATATTTTCTGAAATTGTTTGACATTCAAGACGGACATTTTGTTGAACTGATTTTGCACGTTCATATCTGACCTCATTATAAAGTTACGTTTTGAACAGTTCAACATCAGATTTTGCTGATTTCTAACGCCTTTTCTTCAGTATTTAGTCCTTGAATTTGCTGGTACCTTGAATGCCCTTGAAAAGTCCTTGAATTTGACTCTTCCTGACATGTACGAACCCTGATATGAGTCATTTTAGTCATTTAGTTAGCTACACCTGTATGGAGAGTATAAGGCCGCGTTTACATTTGATTTGCATCCGGGGTACCAAGCGTAGTGGACCATATAGTTGGTACGCTACGGGAAACCATGCACTCCGTTACAGTGTAAACACAATACTAAGAAACGTTCAGTAGTGAAAATATATTAATTGGACTATAAGATTCTATATTCCACACTGAAACTGCATTTTCGGAGTTCGAATATTGCGCTAACTTAGAGTTCTCTCACCTTGTACCTTTATTAAACAAATTTTCATTCGATAATTATTTCTAGCAGGGGGATAGAAGACCCAGTGTAGACCACAGACAAAGCATAAGAACAGCTTCTGCCTATGACAAAGAACATAATTTTAAGGTAAGCAGTTGCTTTTTTAAAACTTTACTTCATCGTGGCCCCATACTAAAAATGGAAAATATGATTTAATGTGCACGAAAAGAGTCAAGAAGGAAACGGTCAAGTTTTTAATAGTGGGAATAATTGTCGTTAACGAAAAATGACCAAATTAAGGTTTATTTTTAATTAGGTAACATGGTTTCCCAGACGAATTATAATTTCACCAGAACATCGATCCTAAGCGAAAAATTTTTTGTCCTTTAATTAAAAACATTTATCAACCGAATTTTTCTATTTTTCTATCAGAAAGCTCTGGATCGAGAGGGATTCAACTACCTAAGCAAAATGTCCACGTTACAAATGAACTGTAGAAAAATTGAGCAAAACAAAAAGTAATTTATAGTCTAAATTATCTTCGATTTTGATAAATTTGGTAGTCATACTGAAAGCCAAACGTTGTTATAGCACCAAAGAAAGCACATTTACATTTTATTTAAAAATTCAAACTTAAATATTTTTCTGCAAAATAGTGTGTTTTCGACTCAAGTTTGCTTGTGATCATATTTTAAATTTCCAGCGACTCTTTCCTATTAAGCATGTATAATGATTGCGTCTACCTTAACGATATTGACCACTTTGCAGGGTTCCCAATAGAATTTGGAGTAGGAGGCATTTTGAAAGGGGTAGGCGGCAATGTGGTGGCGAAGGTACCACTACCACTCGCTTGGGGGAGGGGATCCGAGGGCGTTTCTTTGTGAAAATTCTGAAATTTAAACCCTCCGAAATGGCATTTCCAGGCATTTTGCAGAGGTCCATTTCCAGTCAAGAAAAATTTCCACGGACAGAAAATTTCCCGAAAATATCATTGTTAAACATTTTACAAAATTTTCTTTCTGCCGAAAATTTTCCTGAGTGGAAATGGGCCTAAAGGTTTTAGAGGTTTTGTCGTTTTATCCAAATATTTAAAGTGCCTATGACACGAACTTTCACCGCCAATGTTTATGATTGCATTGTAAAGATCACTTAAAATGACTTGATAATTTCTTTTATAGAATTTTGGTAACTTGCTTCCTTTGCAAGATATTCAATTTTGTTTCATATGTAAATATCACCGGTGTGACATCACATAGCATAATGACATTTTGAAAACGCAATGTTTTACCTTGATAAAATATTTTTACAAACAAATACAGAGGGTTAATTACCAGTTATGGAATTAATACATAAACAAGGGCAATTTTTAAGTTTTTTAGATACGTATTCGTCAAGAAAACTATACTTTTCTGAAAACTCATTATGCGATGTGATGTCACACCGGTGATATTTGCATATGCAACAAAGTTGAATATCTTGAAAAGGGAACAAGTTACCAAAATTCTGTAAAAGAAATTATTAAGTCATTTTAAGTGATCTTTACAATGCAACCATAAACCTTTGGGGTGAAATTTCGTGTCATAGGCACTTTAACAAAGAATATTGTGTAAAATTTATGTTAGAAAAGCAAGAAACCTTTCCCTTGACATTTCTGCGATGAGGATGAAACATTTTGGTTTGCAATTTCGATATCGCTACGCAACACTGCTCGTTTGACACAGCTCAAGAAATTCCTTTCAAAGACAAAAACTGAAGCGCTTACACTATCAGAAATTGGTTGAACACTACGATAACGAATGCTGAGATCTACATCGAAGGTTATACATTATACAGACAAGATCGCTTAAATAAACGTGGAGGTGGTGTTTGCACATACATCCGAAATGACATTAAGGTCTTCAAACTCAAGGAAATTTCATCTGTTTCTGAAAACTGTTTCCATCAGCTTTGGCTGAAACTTCAAAGTAAAAAGTTAAAATCTATCGTAATATGCATATCCTACAGACCACCGGAGTGTCCGCTGTCCTGCCTAGAAACCAACTTGAAACCGAGTTTTGTCCAAGCCCTTCTACTAAACAAGCCCATTTTTATATTGGGAGATCTGAATTGCAACGTTATGAAGGAATGTCCAGAGAACACAGCACTAGGAAACTTCATGCTCGAGATGAACTTGAACCAACTGATCATAACACCAACTAGAATAACAGACACTAGTGAATCGTTAATTGACGTGATAATAACTTCAGCTTCCCATCTTGTCAACGAAAGTGGTGTCATGGATACTATTAAAAGTGATCATTTACCGGTGTACGCAGTTCTTAATATGAAGCTACCCAAGCCACCACCTCGATATATCCTAACACGAAGCTACAAGGACTATGACGGAGAAAGGTTCACCGCCCACCTTGCATCAAGATCGCAAGAGCTTATTTCCATCTTTTCGGATTCCAATGTCAATTCCAAACTTGACAATTTTAACAACGTCCTTCTTATAACTTTGGCTGTCCATGCTCCAGTCAGAATAACTAAGATCCAAAATCGCTCTTGTCCCTTCATCACAACAGATATCAAAAACCAAATGTTCCACAGAGACCAACTCCACCGTCGTTACAAACGAACACGTGATATCGATGATTGGAGAGCATTTAAAAACGCCCAAAGATCAGTCAAATCCACTCTAAAAGCTGCTGAAAAACAACACGTTCAAACTGAAGTTAACCTCCATAAAGATAATTCTAGATCGTTGTGGAAAGTGATTAATAGGTGTATTCCATCTAAAGATAAAAGGATTTTGACTTATCACAAAAATACATTAGAGGGGTGGCCAACGATTTCAACCAGTTCTTTCAATCTGTATGAAAAAGAGCTGCCGAAACAGCTGAAATGTTAGCCCTACAAAATAATTTAAATATATCAACTGAGTTAGAGCCTCAGAATAGGAGATCTGAACTCTTCTCTACGGAATTGTTCAAGTTCACTCCCATCACATGCACAGAGGTTCAACACATAATAACAACAATGCCGTCGAATAAATCTCCAGGACCAGACCAAATCAGCATGCGGATTATTAAGGATTGTCTTCCGGCCATACTCGGCCCATTGAC